GGATAGGTATTCTTCAGAGCCAGACCCCCTCGAAGAAATCACCGACATCATGGCGACCGCCGCCCCTCCTCGTAACAAGATGCTGGGCCAGGTTCAGGCCGACTCAGCAGAGAGCAGCCGTGGCCCCTCTCCCCAGCCAACACATTTCAGCTTGCCCATGGCTTCTCGCTCAAATGGCAACGGCCACAGGGTTTTGAGGTCAGCAACAGTTGGCTACATTGCGCCGACTTTTGTTGGCAAGCAAGAGCAGATGGAGCAGGGTGAGTTTGTTATCGTCCAGGAACCAAGTCTAGGATGTCACTAACACGCGCAAAACTAGTCAAGGAGCTCATCAAGAACAACGGATGGATCCCAGAAGCTCTGATTGAGGAGCAAGTCACATGGTTCTACGACGAGCTCGGCATCGACGATGTCTACTTCAAGATTGAAGTTCCCGAGGTCATTGCCAGCCAAATCACATCTCTGTACGCCGCCAAGGTGGCCGCTTTCGCCCGCGAGGACAAGCGCGAGGAGATCAGACTTGACATGGAGGCGCATGATCATGCCATTTACATCGACACGAGCGAGCCCGGCAGGACGTCCATTGCTGGACCCCGCTACGAACAGCGCCTCGAGGCAAAGTATCTCGACCATGTTGGCAAGACCAAGTTCCGTGTAGAGACCTTCCGCTCTCCTGGAGTTCTGGGCGCATCACCAACCTCTAAGGCCACCCTGCGCTGCTACTTCGTCTACCAATGTCTCTTCAAGCAGAGCCCCGAGACAACGGACCCTCACGAGACTCGTTTGGAGGTTATTGCCGACAACGGTTTCTTGCAGAAGGCCACCAACAACACCAAGCAGATCTACCAGGAGATCATTGATCTCGCGGTCAATAGAACTGGCCCCGTCATTGAGGTCTTCGACATTGAGGGCTCTCCTGAGAAGCGCTTGGTCATTGCCTTCCGCTCTCGTACTGCCCGTGGCCTGTTCTCGGCTCTCAGTGACCTGTACCACTACTACGGCGTCACCAGCTCCAGAAAGTACGTGGAGCAATTTGCCAACGGTATCACGGTCATGAGTATCTACCTTCGTCCCGCTATGAACATCGAGGGCAACTTCCCATCGTTGGACCAGTCGATCCACCAGATCACCAAGGAGATCTCCCTGCTGTACTGTATTCCCCAGAACAAGCTGCACTCTCTCTTCACTGCCGGTGAGCTGAGTCTGCAAGAGACCGTTTACGGCCACTGCGTCTGGGTTTTCATTCAGCACTTCCTGAACCGTTTGGGTTCTGAGTACATCTCCCTATCAGAAATCCTGGACCCTAAGAACCAGGCTCACACAGCACTTCTGTCCAAGCTGAAGCGCCGTCTGAGGACGGAGACTTTCACTCCCGACTACATTCTGGAGATCATCCAATCGTACCCGGGCCTTGTTCGCGCCCTCTACGCTTCTTTTGCCTCGGTCCATCTTGCCGTCGGACCCGACTTTGACCGTCACTTCATCGCCCCTACCCCGGCCATTGAGGTCTTGTCCGATGCCAAGCTCAAGGAGCGCATCACTCGCGATGTTTCCAACGAGCACGAGGAGATGGTCATGACCGCCTTCCGGGTCTTCAACAACGCCATTCTCAAGACCAACTACTTCACTCCCACCAAGGTTGCCCTGAGTTTCCGCCTGGACCCCTCTTTCTTGCCTGAGATCGAATACCCCAAGCGCCTCTACGGCATGTTCCTCGTCATCGGCGCCGAGTCGCGCGGTTTCCACCTGCGCTTCAAGGATATTGCCCGCGGTGGTATTCGCATCGTCAAGTCCCGCAGCAAGGAGGCTTACGGCATCAACGCCCGCAACCTGTTTGACGAGAACTACGGCCTGGCCAGCACCCAGCAGCGCAAGAACAAGGACATTCCCGAAGGCGGTTCCAAGGGTGTCATCCTTCTTGACCCCAAGATGCAAGACCGCGCCGAGGAGGCCTTTGAGAAGTACATTGACAGTATTCTCGACCTTCTGCTCCCTGCCCAGACTCCCGGCATCAAGAACCCGCTTGTGGACCTGTACGGCAAGGAGGAGATCATCTTCATGGGACCCGATGAGAACACGGCAGAGCTCGTCGACTGGGCTACTGAGCATGCTCGCGCCCGCGGCGCACCCTGGTGGAAGTCATTCTTCACTGGCAAGTCGCCCAAGTTGGGCGGTATTCCCCACGACACTTACGGCATGACGACCCTGTCTGTCCGTGAATACGTCAACGGTATCTACCGCAAGCTCAACCTCGATCCCTCGACTGTGAAGAAGATGCAGACCGGCGGTCCCGATGGTGACTTGGGCAGCAACGAGATCCTTCTCAGCACCGAGAAGTACACTTCCATCGTTGACGGATCTGGTGTTCTCGTTGACCCCAACGGACTTGACAAGCAGGAGCTTCTCCGTCTTGCCAAGTCACGATCCATGATTGTCAACTTCGACATGTCTAAGTTGTCCAAGGATGGATACCGCGTGCTGGTTGATGACAACAACATCAACCTGCCCACTGGAGAGTTTATCTCCAACGGCACATCTTTCCGCAACACCTACCACTTGCGCGATACTGGTCTCACCGACTCCTTCGTTCCCTGCGGTGGTCGCCCCGAGTCCATTGACTTGATTTCGGTTAACAAGATCATCAAGGACGGCAAGTCGACCATTCCCTACCTGGTTGAGGGCGCCAATCTCTTCATCACTCAGGATGCCAAACTTCGCTTGGAAGAGGCTGGCTGTATCCTGTACAAGGATGCCAGTGCCAACAAGGGCGGTGTCACGTCTTCCTCCTTGGAGGTTCTTGCTTCGCTCTCGTTCGACGACGAGAACTTTGTCAAGCATATGTGCCACGACGCCAAGGGCCAGGCTCCTCAATTCTACAAGGACTACGTCAAGTCAGTCCAGGCAAAGATTCAGGAGAACGCCCGCCTCGAGTTCGAGGCCATCTGGCGCGAACACGAGCAGACCGGTGTTGCCCGCAGCACCCTCTCTGACAACCTGTCCAACGCCATCACCACCTTGGACGAGGAGCTCCAGCACTCCGATCTCTGGAAGAACGAAGCCATCCGTCGCTCGGTCCTCCAGGACGCCCTCCCCAACCTTCTTCTGGAGAAGATTGGTCTCGACACTATCATCGAGCGCGTCCCCGACTCCTACTTGCGCGCCATCTTCGGCAGCTACCTCGCCTCGAGGTTCGTCTACCAGTTTGGCAGCCAGCCTAGCCAGTTTGCTTTCTACGACTTGTAAGTTTTCCTGCGCCCTTCAATCCATTGAACATGATTCTAACCTTCTACTTAGCATGGCCAAGCGTATGGCGAGCGTCAAGCAGTAATCTTTTTCTCGAGTGTTTCTCAATCAGGCGTGTTTCTGTTTTCCCTGCATGATAAATGGGTATTGGAGAATTGGATAAGTGATTTCGTGCTTCCTGGCATATACACGCATGGGTGGTGCGAAAGAAAAGACAGAGAGAAAAAGGAACATCATGACACGGCAGTAAAAGATTGAGCAAAGGATCATAGTCCACGCTTAGATGGTGGATGAATTGCATACTAATAGGAGTTATCGGGCATGGTTATCAGATGGTTTGAACCTGATGGTCGAGAAGATCACAGCAGTTATTCAATGAGACTTTTTAACCTCAGTTTGGTGTTTTCTCCTTATCTTGATCCTCATGAATTTACTTCTCAGGCTCAGCTTGCATATGTTTGAGCTTTCCATCCTGCATCCATGGCACTACTGCTTGTAGGGGCGCGAGTTGATATCGTGAAGCCGCCTTTCGGTAGACGTGATGTGGGTTCGATCGGCCTCACAAACGTGCCGATGATTGATGGCACGTTTTCCCGTACGGGATGGTAGTCCACGGAAGACCTTGGAAACCTTGTAACCTACAGTGGGCTAGGATTGAGTTCTATCCTACCACAAGAATCAATACCTGGTCATAACGGATCCGGAACGAAGAGAGCAGAGGACATATATAACCTCTGACGTCCACAGCTGAAGAGATGAATGTAGAAACACGGAAGCAAAGCAGGGCATGTTGTTGATTAAAGGACGGGAAGGACATGCGGATCTACGTCCACGCCCTCTCTCACACGCCTACCTTGTAGCATAAGCTTGCCCCCCCCTCCCCTCCCCTTCCCCCAGTCAGTCTTCCATACCACACTACCGAACTCAGCGTGGTGTATCCAAATTGTCGGGACGGCCCCTGTGACCGCTCGGTCCGCTCCGAAGGGGGGAGGGGAGGAGCTTCTTGGGATGGGTAGGATAGGCGGGCTGTAAGTGCTGGGGGCTGAAAAACCGAGATAGGGCGAGACTGGAAGGCGTGGGGGTTCATTTCCATATAAGGACACACCCTTTTACCTTTGTCCCCCCCCCCCCCCCCCCCCCCCCCCCGCCCCCCCCCCCCCCGGGGGGGGGGGGGGGGGGGGGGTGAAGGGTGGGGGGTTGAAAAACCGGGGTAGGGGGGGACTGGAAGGCGTGGGGGTTCATTTCCATATAAGGACACACCCTTTTACCTTTGTCCCCCCCCCCCCCCCACGGCCTGCGCGGATCCCCGGACATGAGAGAGAGAGGTTTTCGGCGCTTTGCTCCGATGCGGGCGGAGCCGATCCGGCTTGGGATCCGACAACTCGGCAACATGTTTTTTTTTTTCCTTCTCTTCCTTTCTCTCCTATCAGATGAATATCTGGTCATGAACGCGATTGAACTGGGTGACGATGGTACAGGTACAGAGGGAGAAGCCTGGTCAATCCAAACTGTTTTGAATTTCTATGCCACTTGATATAAGTTTTCTAGCGTAGCTTCAGATCCCGGGATCGAGGCATATGCCCAAACATTGCAATTTTCTTTTTCCCCCTCGTGAAGTCTAGATCCCTCCCATGACGACCTTGTACCTGATTAATATAGTTCCCACTTCTTAACAACCTCCAAACAAGATATACCGCGGGGGAGACGGGTAGGACGCAAGAAACGAGCGGGTGAGTCGAATACGTGGACGCAAGACTCTAGTGCGTCTCGGCCCACGCGCGGAACCACTCCAGGGCCTCGGGGTTGGCGACGCTGGCGTTGGTCTTGACGTCCATGCCGGAAAGGATCTGCTTGACGGCAACTTCGATCTTCTTCCCGTTCCCCGTCTTGGGGATCCCGCCGCCGGCCTCTTCAATAACACCGGGAACATGCCTGGGGCTCAACTCCCTCCGAATCACGCTCTTAATCTTGCCCCTCAGCTCGTCGTCGAACGCGCGGCCCGCGACGGGAACGACGAACAGACACACCGTCTCGTCGGCGTCCGCGGCGCGCCGGCGCCCGACGCAGACGGCATCCTCCACCTCGGCGGCGAAGAAGCGCGTCAGGATGTTGTAAATCTCCGCGGACCCGAAGCGCACGCCCGCGGGCTTGAGGACGCCGTCGGAGCGACCGAGCATGACGAGCGAGCCCGTGGCCGGGTTGGGGATCTTGATGAAGTCGCCGTGGTGCCATACCGCGCCCTGCACGCCGCAGACGTCGGCGAAGCGCTCGAAATAGGCGGCTTTGTATTTGTTGTCGCCTCCGGTGCCGAAGAAGGTGAGGGGCTGGCAGGGGAAGGGGCGGATGCAGATGAGGTCGCCTGGGTGGGTTGGGTCCGGGAGGGGGTCGCCCGAGAGGGAGTCGACGGCGCGGATGGCCATGCCGAGGCCCGCGCACTGGATCTCGCCGACGCGGACGGGGAGGAGGGGGCAGGGGGCGCCGAAGAGGGAGATGATGTCTGTGCCGCCTGTGATGGAGGCGAGGTTGACTTTGGCGGGGAAGGCCTTGTAGACGAAGGAGAAGGTGGAGGGCGGAAGGGGGCTGGCGGTGGAGTAGATTGCCTCGAGGGCGGAGAGGTCGATGCCGGGCTCGTTTACGGGGTAGACTGCGTTGGCCTCGAGGGCGGTGAGGTAGGCGGCCGAGGTGCCGAAGTGGGTGACGCGAAGGTCGGAGAGGAGGCGGGGGAGGGAGAGGTGGCCGTGGGGTTTGAAGGGGGAGCCCGAGTAGAGGACGAGAGTGGCGCCGACGGCGAGGGCGGAGACGGACCAGTGCCACATCATCCACGAGGTTGTGGTGTAGTAGAGCATGCGGGACTTGGCGGTGAGGGAGCCGTGGAGGGCGTGTTCCTTCTTGTGCTGGATGAGGGTGCCGAGGGCGGTGTGGACGATGGCCTTTGGCAGGCCGGTGGTGCCGCTGGAGTAGAGGATGTAGAGAGGATGTGAAGGCGGAAGCTGCTCAAAATTGAGAGGCTCATCGGGAGAGCTTGGGTGAAGATGTTAGCAGGATGCAGTAAAGAGGCTTCTGGTGAGTTTTTCCAGGCATTGATGATGGCTTACCTTTGGAGGAACGACTCGTACTCATCAACTACAACGCCTGTTGCTCTCAGGCCGTCAATGGCAAGGTCGCATGCCACATTGTTGATGACAATCACGAGCTCGAGGCCCTCAGGCATCAGGGCCTTGACGATCTCCTCCGTCTTGTCGGTACTGCTCCACTCCTTGCCGTTGTACACGGTGCCGTTGTCGGCGAAGAGGACCTTGGGCCCGATCTGCGCAAGACGGTCCAACACTGCGCTGACACCGTTGTCGGGGCTAATGCCAGTCCAGATGGCGCCTACAGAGGCAGCAGCGAGAGCGGCAATGATGGCCTGGACGTGGTTGGATACGAAGCCGGCAACAATATCGTTAGGCTTAACGCCGTGAGCCCGGAGGCCGGCGGCGCATCGGCGGACGGCGTCTCGGAGCTCGGCCCATGTTGTGGAGACGGAGGGGCCGAGTTCGGTGGTGGTGATGGCTGCGACGGATGTGGGGTCGACAGCGACGTTGGCGGGGAAGAGCAGGTTCTCGGCAAAGTTGAGACGGGCTCCTGAGAAGAAGTCTGGACGCGGGTACATGGGCGCATTGAACGGCAGGACCTAAGGGGGTTGGCCCATCGGGCCGGATCAGCTATTGGTCTGGGAAAAGTGAAATTGAGGTGATCTTTGGAGGGGCAGCACGGGCGCCGGTATAGGAGGGGGAAGGCGTTGAGATGGGCAAATCGGCATTCCCATGGGCTAGACAATGGCTCATGGCATGACTCGATTGCTCGGGGATGATGGTCATGCAAAAGCTGTATGCCATGACCACATAGCTGTCCGCCTCACTCGAGGCAGTATCAAGGTTCTTGATGGGCGTCCTGACGAGGGTTCAAGACACTGGTGAGGACCATGGAATGCATTGGCGACTTTGATGGTGTCTCCCTCTGGCTGTTGCTCGCTGTCTCTGGCACTCGCGTAGAGTTTGAGCCCTTCCTCTCAGACTGATGTCACACAACCTCCTTCTCTTTTACCTTCTGCCTGCTATCTTTCAAGATTGGCAGTCAAGGCGCGCCAAGCATAAGTAGGGCAAATAGAGGATGAGGTTGAGTTGTGTTTGGGGTGAGTTGACGAATAGCATTGGTCCAGCGTACCTTGTCGAACGGCTTAGAGGCGGTGATGCCCACAGAATGCCAGACCTCCTCCCAGAACTCTGCCACGTTTTCGACGGACCACTTGTAGAGACCGGGGTAGTCTGCCAGTTCGAGTCCATACTTTTGATTCACCCGGAGAAGAAACGCCCACATGGGAGTCGAGGTGGGGTCCGGGTGCCGCCAGAGCTCGTTGCGCGTGACACTGGTGATGGTCATGCTGGGCGGATTGGATGAATTGGAGGGAATTGAGACGATGAGAGACGGAAGAGGCAGTCGGTGCTCTCAAAATGGGACCTAGATGTTGGGTATCACGGCGACGATGGTGGTCAAGTTAAAAAGGGGGAAGAAAATGTTTTCGAAAATTGTGTGCAGCAGCGCGCCAAAGTGAGAGTCGAGAGATTCCGGCCGGAGTGGAGGGAGAAGAGTTGGGCCGTCGCAATCCGAGGATGCAGTTCCGCAGGAAGATTCCGAAAAAGGGTTGAGGACGCAGTACCAGAACAATCTGCTGGACCGGAGTCCGGGGGTGGGGGTGGAATCTGCTGCACCGCACATCGGCGAGGGAGGGCAAGCAGCTCATCGTCAGCTTAGTCTGCTTGGTCCAATTTCCACATCAACTCTTCTTTTCTCAGATACTGTGTGTGGCCAGCTGACTGTGCTTCCGTTTCGCATTGGAGCTCGGTCATGGCTCGTTGCTCGCCTGTTCTTGTCTTCGGAGAACCTTTGACGAACCTCGACATCTCAAACATCGCAGTTCATGGACGCTCTGCTGAGAACGAGGACCGTGGTGAACTGTGCTCTGCCTTAGCTAAGGTACCCGTGGATCATGGACAGTAGTCGTGCTGTTTGACGCTGTACCTGCATCTGGTAAAAAAAGACTGGTACGACAGGCGAGCCTGTAGTGTACGGAGTAAGCTCTAGAACTAACAACAGAGCACTTGCAGACGCTCCCCACAGTCCAGCTCATCGAGGCACATGAGGCTATGCAGGGCACACCTTGGCAAGGACCTTCACGGCTTCAGGCACTTGAGCGAGGCGTTCATGGCATTGGGAACCCAGAGACTCGCCCATTCCGCTCTGTGGCTGGTGCACCAATGCGCCCCCCTCCTCTACCCTCCCCTTCGATGCGTCTCGTTGGACTCGATCAGTGTTGCGCTATCGCTGTCGCTTCATATCGATAACGTTGTCCAAGCGGACTGGGAAGACGTCTCAGAACGGGACCCAATGCTGGGGAGAAGCCTGCAAGTCGACGGGCCTCAATCAAAGATGGTGCAGTGACAGCTCACACAATCCCACAATCCCACAGTCGAGGACCTTGTTACACGGGTAAACAAGCACTGCAGACGGGAGATTGTGTGAAATGTCATTGGCCGCACCCAAGATTCCTAGTATCATAATCTGGCGAAACCGCAACACGCGATTCGGTCATCGAAGAGATCGAGATGGCCAACAAATGTCACCAAGGCCTCGGGAGACTAGCCGATATGCCGTACGTTGCAGGTGGGTCGATGACTGCTATTGAAGATTGAAGGGTCGCGGAGAATACAAACGTGTAACAAAGAAGCAACGGCATATCGTCAAGCCGTTGATGGAAATTCAAGTCTCGAATTAAATGACCATTCGTGCTGTCCCATTTCGAGCTCGTGTTACCCAACGTTGTGTCCCAAGTCAACGGTCAAAAAAGCGAGACATGCGCTGCGCCTCTGGTTCGTTCGACCCATTGCCAACTGGTCATCCGAGCGCCTTGGTTGCTTTTCTCTCTCTTTGCCTTCTGCAACGTCTTGCTTCCATCGCCAAAGTCGAGGGCGCCCTGTGCACGCAGAATATGGTTATGCGATGGGGCGGGGGTCAAGTCAGTTGTTGAACCGTCGGTGAAGCCGACTGGCAGGGCAAACGATGCTCCATTATGTCCAAGGCACTAGTGGACGAGGTATTGACAACAGCATTGAGTTGGGCAGAGATGGGCCAAATAGCTGTATGCATTGTGTCGAATGCATTGCCGGAAAGACACGTCCAACGCAACTATTTTGGTGATAACGTCACTTTGACCCTTCCAGACAAGTCATCGGACGGCGTAAGGTGAGGAGGAGGGCTGTCGACAAGTCTGGGAACAAGGGGGTTCCATGGTGAAGTGCTTCGCTGGCTTAGCAAGGCTGCCAGGCGACTCAACTTGGAACCATGGATAGGGCGGCGGGAGGTGAAGGTGAATTTTGACTGTTTGGCCAAAGGCGGGCCGTTGGACGATGAATTGTGCGACGACAGGGTCCTGTAGTGGTAGCAATAGCCGGGGGAGAACAGGTTAACGGCACTGGCGGGAACTTGGAAGCTCTTTAGCTCAGCTCTTCCCGTCATGCACAGCAGAGCTTGGGACGTGGAGCAGTGAAAGCCTCGCGGGATCTGCGTAGGCTGGACTAGTGCAGGATACCGAGGGTCGCATTTTGATGACATGGTCGGGTAGACGAAGAAGCGGATGACTATGCCTCGAAGCAATGCCAATGCTCAATGGCGGCATGGCTTGATGCTAGAGCGGTTGCGAACTCCAGAGCATCCGAGAGCGAAGGCGGGTGAGAGAATCTTGGTCCTTGGAAGAGGGACGGCGACTGCAAAGAAAGAATTGTCCGATCATCAGTCATCGAGAGTCCGGTGCGTCCGTCTCGGCCGTGTCGTCCGGGCAGCCTGTCAGGCTTCGATTCGCCCCTCCCCCTTTTCCCGCGCGTGATCTGATGGTTGCATCCTGCTTGCTGCTTGGTGCCAATGGTTGACTGGATGGGTGCCGAGTTGAGTAACGCGCCGGGGCCAGGCGGGATTTGCCCAACAGCCGAGATCACATTGGGTGGGTGGATATGGTAGTGGATCAAAGATGCAGCAAACGTGGTTCGGCCAGAGCAAGGCAAGCCGCAAGCCGCAAACCGTAAAATGAGGTGAGTTGTTAGTCGCGAAGACTGGCCGGAGCATAGCAGACAAGGTTGTGGATATCAGGTAGGGTACGGAGTATTCGTTGTGTCGTTGCTTGTGGAAGGGCCCGCAGAGGGGGTCTGACACTTGGACATTGGGTGAAAATCCAAGAATAAGGATGATTAGGAGCCAAAAGTTGTAAGCCTCGCTTGACTGTCAGAGGCAAGCAGCATAGTAGGCATTAGCGGTTGGGCTAGGGGGCCAAATGCTGGTGTGTGTGTGTGATACCTATGTGCGTGTTCAAGAGAGCGATCATCGTGAGTCTAACAGTAGGAGTTCTAGGCGAGGTACGGATAGAAAGACAGACCAATTGGAGGCAAGACAAGAAAAAAAGAAAGAAAGAAAGGACCGTGCAATAGAAAGGCGAACAGCGGGCAACCCGGACGTGTCGGGAGGCCAGGGGTCAGAAGCGGGAAGAAAGACAAGAAAAAAAAGACTCGTCGAGGTGTGCGAGAATGAGACCTGGGAGTCGATCCTCGAAATTGAAATGATACGCGCTAACGGGGAAGAGAGGAAGAAAAGTCACTCGCATCGCGGCTTCCACATGAGTTGCGCAGTGGGCAGAGAGCCCCATTAATCATCACAACGGGATGGGGGGGAAGATACTTTGAGGCTGCACCTTATTATGTGCATTCCCAAAGTACTTTTTTGATAACATGCTGTCGTACTAGGGTCATACAACCTGGAAGGCACGGATGCTACACAGTAAGGTACAGCCCGTCCACGCGGTAATTTTCCTCACCGTCGTGGATCTCCTCTGCATTATCCGTACTCCGTATTGTGTTTTTTTCTTCTTCCTTCCTCGTCAGGGTCATTGCCTTTATTTCCCAACTTGTGCCCTCTTTCCTTTTCAGACTTCTTCTCCTCCTTCTTCCTCTTCCCCTTCCTTCCTCTCCAAGCTCACATCATCCTGTGGTTCCTTCCTTTCATTCCCCGTCCTAACTTTCCCTTGGACTCTGGAGCTGCCTTCCCGAACAGCCCGACAGCAGACCAATCGCAGGCCTGCATCGATCGAGAAGAGAGGTCCAGACACCACTTCGACGCCATAGGTACCTCGTCACCTGCTTTTCGCCGTTGGGATACTTAGGCCACCAAGTAAGGTACCTTTCCAGGTTGCCTGTCTCGACTCTCAACACACTCGAAAAAAGTCACCTCACTTTCAAGGTCCTTACCTCATCACTGCGTCTACGTACTCCGTACCTTACGAAGTACCTTAGCTCATCGCTCATCAACGCGCCTCACCTCAGTGCAACAGCTGCAGCACCCACCCGCACCAATTTTACCTAAAATCACGGTCCAATCCCATCGCGCGACAAGCCGAAATCGACAATTTGCCTTTTCCTCTTTCGCTCCCGCCATCTCCAACAAATCTCCCTCCATCCTCCCGAGTTTCCATCCTCCTCAGCACTCACTCCTTGCAGTTGCAGCCCCTTGCAGCTGTTACAAATTCTGCGAGACTTGCTCGGTTCACCACCTTTTGCCGTCTGCATCTTCTGTTTCTCAACGGGAAACCCCATTCTTCACATTTGCACCAAACCTGGAACTCTCGCCCTGAGCCACTGCAGAGCCACGACCTCCTAATTGCATCCTCGTTGCTCTCTTGCGCGCCCCTAACCCCCTTTTCGCTTTCGCCTCCTCAACTTCTTGCTTTCTCACAACTTGCTCAATCGCAAAAGCAAAAGAAGTCGCCAAAGAGAAAAAAAAAGGTTTCCTCGGACCTACACGACTGTATCTCCAACCTCCAACTTTCGGCCACTTGAGCACCAGCTGCTTACAGCCTTTCTTGGTGAGTGCTTGACCGTTAATTCATCATCATCATCATCATCACCTTTCCTCCAAAAACAACCCAATCCGAGGACTCCGGCGCCTCGATAGCCTCTGTGGCTCCCCCAAGCGTCTCGTTAGCGCCTCATTTGTGTCTTGTTTCGTGCTTCCATCAAACTGCCGCAAGAGGTCGGAGGTGAGCCCTTGGCTATTCGCACTTCTAGCGCGCTCATCTTAGTGGTCGCCTACTCTGTGCCTGCGACCGCGGGTGCGCCACTGACACTCTGACCGACAATTTCCCTAATTCTCAAACCACCAACCATTTTTGTTATCTCTTCCACAACATCCGGGCCTCCCGTCAGACTTGCATTTCGTGCTGACCGATCGTCCTTCTTCTTCACAGCGCATCAATTCTCGGTTTCGTCAAGGAAAACAGCTTCGTCCTCGTTCTCTCCCTCAATTCGGTCTTTTCCTGCTCCATTGCAGACTTCGAATACCCCTATTCCAATCGCCACTGAGTCGACCATAGACAGCCACGTGCTTCTCAGCAATGCCCCGTAGAATTGCGAATCCCTTCTCCAACGCTCATTCACCCGCCATGCCGCTCTCCGAGAAGGAAAGGAGACCTTCTCGTTCCGGCAATCGCATCACCAACTTCTTCACCTCCCCAAAGGGCGCTAAGGACAAGGACCACCAGACTGCCCAGCAAGCTCTCCTCGCCATGCAGCAGCAAAACATCTCGTCCACCCAAATCACCCCTTCCACCATCTCCCTGCCTACAATTTCGCTCTCAACTGCCACCGCTGGCGAGCCCGACACCACTGACCCCCCTACGACCCTCTTTTCGCCTCCCTCAGCCGTCGAGACGGAGAAGAAGAGGCGCTTCGATGCTCAATTCGGCCCTCTCCTTCACCCTACCCACCGATACGTGAGCAAGTCCAACGATGGCAAGCCCTTGGACCCGCCCATCATCGATGAGCCGCCCTACTACTACATCCTCACTACCTACATCAGCTACCTGCTTCTCATTCTCTTCGGCCACGCCCGCGACTTTTTTGGCAAGCGCTTCGGCGACAAGAAGCATTACCAGGCTCTCAAGCCCCAAAATGGATACGCTCCCTTGAACGAGGACTTTGACAACTTTTACGTTCGTCGTCTGAAGATGCGCATTGACGACTGCTTCGCACGACCCATCACCGGCGTTCCCGGCCGCTACATTACCCTCATGGATCGCGAGTCTAGAGACTACAACAGAACCTACAACTACACTGGCACACACACCGAGACATTGAACATGAGCTCCTACAACTACCTTGGTTTCGCGCAGTCGGAGGGCCCTTGTGCCGATGCTGTTGAGGAATGCGTCAAGAGATACTCTCTCAGCACTTGCAGCCCCCGCGCTGATGTCGGTACTTCGGACTTGGCTCTGGAGGTCGAGAAGGAAATCGCCAGCTTCGTCGGCAAGCCCGCTTCCATGGTCTTCTCCATGGGTTTCGTCACCAACGCTAGCTCGTTCCCCGCCCTCGTCTCCAAGGGTTGCCTCATTCTCTCTGACGAGCTCAACCACGCTTCCATCAGAGTCGGTGCTCGTCTCTCCGGTGCAGTCATCTCATCCTTCAAGCACAACGATGTCGTCGATCTCGAGCGCAAGCTTCGGGAGGCCATTTCTCAGGGTCAGCCCCGCACCCACCGCCCTTGGAAGAAGATCCTGGTTGCCGTCGAAGGTCTGTACTCTATGGAGGGCACCATGTGCGATCTCCCCGGTGTCATGGCATTGAAGGACAAGTACAAGTTCTACCTCTTCATCGATGAGGCCCACAGCATTGGCGCCGTCGGGCCTCGTGGCCGTGGTGTCTGCGACTACTACGGTATCGACCCCGCCCGTGTCGATATTCTCATGGGCACTCTTACCAAGTCTTTCGGTGCCAATGGTGGCTACGTCGCCGCTGACAAGAGCATCATCGACAAGCTCCGTAGCTCCAACGCCGCGACCACTCTTGGCGAGTCGCCTGCTCCTTCCGTCCTCATGCAAATTCTGGCCTCTCTCCGTTTGATCACCGGCGAGCTCTGCCCCGGCCAGGGGGCTGAGCGCCTGGAACGTATTGCCTTCAACTCTCGCTACCTACGTCTCGGTCTTAAGCGCCTCGGTCTCATCGTCTACGGTCACGATGATTCCCCCATTATCCCCGTCATGCTCTACAACCCCGGAAAGATGCCCGCCTTCAGTCACGCCATGCTCAAGCGCAAGATTTCCGTCGTTATTGTCGGCTACCCCGCAACGCCTCTTATTAGCTCGCGTGTCCGATTCTGCGTCTCTTCAGCCCACAACAAGGAGGATCTTGACAGACTCCTGGCTGCCGTTGACGAGGTTGCCGATCAACTTCAGATCAGATTCTCTACTGGTATTGCTGGCGGACAGGAGCCTCTTCCCGAAGGCATCACTCCCGAGACGGAAGCTGAGTGGCGCAAGGCGAACGGCACGGAGGGCATGTACAAGGCTCCCCGCTGGAAGCTCGAGGATGTCATCGCTCGTGGAGTTCAGGATGCCAAGATGCGCCTTCGGTAAAGCAAGAGTCATTCCAAATTTGGAGTTAGCAAAGAAAAGATTCACGACTGTTCGGACCTTTGGGTCTGGCCATTGACGAGACGCGGACTGGACGGAACGATGAGGCAACGTCTAGAGTGGAAGAGGGAGTTTGGTGCCCTGTGTTCAATTCTGCCGGCTTCGACCTGTTTGCATGATACCTGTGATATCAACTGTCGAGTATCTATTATACCTTGATTGGGGAGCCTGCATGGCCTTGGCGTTTTTGGGAGTAATGATCGGAACAGCGAACGAATTCATGTGCCACGGCACCGTACCAACATAACTAGTAGTATTAGGCTCTCAAGAGCTGAACAATATAGACGACAACTAAGGTACCTTAGAGTAATGCACATATCCTTCATTGGAGATTATATACAAACTTTGCAGTGCATGTGTACCCTTGCTGGTGATGTCGAGGGGATGCCTATCAGCCCCGTGGTTATATCCATATATTGGATGTCCAAGTGCTGAGTACCCAAACACTGATAAGAGGACTCGGGTTAATGTTGAAGTCGTGGCAGCTGAAAACTCTCAACCCCACAGCCGTCGGCAGACCACACAATGGCCCGCTTGAAGAACAGTATGTATGATTGTACAGGTGAGACGGGAAGTAGGGAATGCGAATATACATAGAGAAAGGGCGGCGTATATATCGGAAGACAGGCTCCACTATTGGAACGTAGGTAGGCATATGAGAAAACTGTTCTCGTCCTCCTAGCACCATCGGATGAGGAGACTTCTGGCGCAGTAGTTGCGACTAATCACTTTCAACCACACACAAAGGGACTCGACCCCCGGTGGCTTATTTTGTTTGTTGAGCTCTGGGTTCGAGTCATCATACAAGTGTTTATAGTCTTTTCTCCCCAGTGTAAACAAGACCTATATGGGTTATGCTTGATCTGATGCTTCGAGATGGAGGTCCGCGATGGAATATCTGGAAGCAACCGAAAATTAGACACTATCCATATTGCCATGTATGTGAATAGTTGGGTCTAGAAGAACAGCAAGAAGAAAGATCTACTCGAGTCAAGCCAGAAAGCCCCATATTGGGACTATATTCAGGGCAAGTGGCTTGGTGGGAATACAGCTTCGATCTCTGCATCTTCAAGAACCAAGTGAGAGAATCCGTCTTTACGTATAGGATCAGGAATTATTCCAGGGGTTTCAGAAAGTTCGTTGAAGTGGGCAAGTTATATACACCTACGTCTACGCAATCGTAGTCCAGGTCTCATCAAACGGGCTTCAGTCTCCCGAAAGCTGGCGCCCCGCAACATGATCTTGCAACACCGATGAAGCTCTCTACTTCTTGCGCAGTACAGCCGCTCTCTGACTGGTGGCAACGAGGATGAACAGCTCACGAGGACAACGGCCACTCATATAGCCGTCCGCCTCCAATACGGGAAGCGAGGACAACGTCAATTGACACCTTGAAAACCCGACAACTCCCTTATGTCTCCGTACTCGGAACACCTGGTTCGATTTGTGCTCTGTATTTTACAGGTCGGCAACCGTTTGCCGTGCGTATACCTGGCAAACTGATCTACTTGTACCCCTCCCCTGAGAAATCTAGATGAAGCGTATTCCTCCCCTGATTTGCAAATCAGCCAAAAACCCCCTCCCAACTATCTTTCTCATCCAAGACAGAGAGCGAAGCCCCCTTCCCCCCAATGTCGGGTCCAATCGCCCTCCCGAGCAGAAAACCCCAATGGCCTTGAGAACAGCGCCGTAGCTCTCTACTTCACGAAGCCGAGAAGCCACTGCGAACTTCCGCCATGAACACGCAGTTTTAGCAATTTATTTGCCGCACCTACACGTCTCATGTTAGCCTCTTTACCCTCTTCAGTCGGGGGTGTATTCTTTTTTCTCTCAAAACCTACTCAGTACGGGAGTTGCCGGTGGTCTGGCTGACGCACTCCGCGGGCCACTTGGAGCCGCCGTCGCACTTGGAAGGGCATCCGCCGGCGCCGAGGCCGCCGTCAATCACCTAGTTGTCGAACCCAAAGTCAGTACGAGAGCCGAAGGTCACTACTCAGGACCATCGAGAGTAGGGGGCCGGGGGTTTGCGAACGTACACAGCAGTGGCGTCCATCATTGTACTTGCACTGGTACCAACCGGCGCAGGCCTCGGTGGTGGCGAAGAAGGCCAGGAAGGCGACGGCGGCGGAGATGATGCGAACCATTTTGAAGAGGATTGGCTTGGGTCTGGGGGGTGGTGATGAAGATGGATGCGGAAGTGAAGCTGGTGTTGTCTCTGTGCTGATGATTGTCTGAGGGAAGGGGAAGAGGCAGCCGTATTTATATTCGATCGAGACTCGCAGAAGATGGTTATATCCCGTACAGATGCCCTCCTGTTCTCCTCAAAGTCGCCGGTTTGTTCGTCCACCGAGATCCTCGAATGGATGCATTCGCCTGCCCATTTCTGCGGTGGTATACCCTCAAACTTTGGGGTATGCATGTTAGAGTGACCGGTAATGAAGAGATACGGAACTCAATCCGCCTGACTTGTGTCAGTGATGGAGTAAATTCCGGTGTCTTTTCGAGTCTATACTCCACATGACCTTTTTCAGCAAAAGCTCTACTCTCGTTGAAGGGTCCTAGTACATACGGTATACAGTCAAAGAGATATGTATATGCTAGTATACACTATTAAAGGGCAATCACGTACAGAGACATTTGCAAAGGGTGGGATTTCTTACGCACATAGTGCCTAAAATGAAAATAAAACAAAAAAAAACAAATACTTCACATGACTCCTTATGCAGTTATCGTGAAGAGGTTCTAGCGTCTAGGACGTCAGCTTGTCGGAGTCTCCGCGACCTGTGAATGAGGCTTAAGTCCGCGTCCGGGTCGGTGTAAGGAAAACCTAGCACATTACCCGAAGGCCTGTCACATTACTTGGAAAGACGGTGAGTATTGATGCTGAGCCAATGTAAATAGGCCTCCGTAGTGACTCCATCGTGAAGTCTTGGCGGATTACCAGGAGACGGGGCGGGTCGGTCACAGGCGGCGAGGCTCCGGTGAATCTATGAGTAGTTGGGTCTGAAAGCGGACCGCGAGGGCCCCGATAGCACGGGGTAACATAGTACAGAAGAGATCTACAAGTTAGAGAGTGGAGTTTTCCTTGAGTCTGGAAGAAGTCTAAATTAGGTTGACTCGAGTGGGTTCACGATACTATCAAAGTACCCGGGGGCCTTGGTACTGCTTAACTCTCCGGTCAAGCTTTCCTCCTACAACGCCAATTTACAGTCAATATAATTAATCACTTCCTGATTGACGATCGTGGGGACTATTGCCACATTTGGATTGGCATGTTGTTCGGGGCAGGCAACGGGATTGATCATTCACCCTTCACAAACCTTCCTGGACAAGTCGAACAGAAATGGCCGCCCCATCAACACCATCTCCCCCTTCAACCTCAACCCAAACCTTTTCCCCCTCAAGCCTCGCCCCAACCCCGTCACGCCCACGATACACAACCCTCCCGCCAACATCAACAACCACATCCCTCACCCTCACAGGAACACCAACAACGCCCCTGGTGCCCCTCGCAGCCCACACGACAATCCTAAACTGCACTCCCTCACCCGTCCCAAAATCCTCCCACTCAACCCGGATCCCCTCCCCCTCGGGCGTCGGCACAACACCCCTCGCCCACTTCAACCCGCTCACCTCAGGAATAACACTCCACGTCCGGAACCCAGGCCCCGTAGGCCTCACCCCGAGAACATACCCGCTCATCAGCGGCACAACACCCGTAGACCACCCGTGCGCCATACTCGTGAACCCGTCCTCGTAGGGCCGTCCATCCGGCCCCCCGATCCCCTCCCAAAACGTCACGCCCGGATCCTGCCCCGCCATCCACCCGTACAACCTCCGCATCTCCTCCACGGCCGTCTCCCCGACCCCGGACGCGAACCGCGCCGCCATCTCAAAGTAGGAGATGAAGGCGTACACCCGCTGGCTGAACCCCTGGCCCACGGCATCCGAGTCGTAAAACGCGTTCCCGTAGGTCCGCGACGCGGCGCCGGCGTAGTACGCCAGGATGCCCCTCGCCGTGCTCGTGTCCACCACGCCGCCAGCGAGAATGGCGAGGCTGTTCCCGTCCTGCGCGTGCGCCGCCGCAAACTCCCCGGCTCCGTCCGTCCCGTCCCAGAACGCGCCCCTCGCCGTGTCAAAGTTGCGTCTGGCCAGCGTGGAGGCGACGTCGTCCGCCCTCGCTACCCACCGCTCTGCGTCCCCTTCCTTTTCTATCTCTGCCGCCATTTCCGCGGCCCGGCGTAGCGCGAGGACGTAGAGCGCGTTGTAGTACGTCACTGGCCCCTGTCTCGGCAGGAAAGCGTAGTCGCCGTAGCCCGAGGTACCATTCAGGCCCTTGGTCACGAGCCCGGTCTCCGGGTCCGTGACGGAGACGTACCATCCGTCTAGAACGGCGACGAGGTTGGCGTAGTAGGTTGAGATGTACTCCACGTCGCCCGTGTACCAGACGTAGTCGTGGCTGCAGACGACCCACCAGAGGGGGTAGTCGAACAAGGGAAGCGTGTAGTTCATACTTCACATCCCGTCCCAAGCATTAGTTTCCCAGGTGAAATGGCTTAAGCAGCGTCTAGTACAAAGAAGAAAAATGAAGGAGAGAAGATGGGGGAAAAAAAAACTCACATGCTCGCCGGCGGAATCCACCCATCACCCCTCTGATGAACCGCCAAATCCACCAATACATTCCTACTCGCCTCGCTCAACATCCCATTCCCATGCGAAACATACCCCGTCAGCGCCGCGACCGCCAGGTCCCCGACGTACGGATCGCGATCGCGCTTCGGCGCGTCGTGCAGCACAATCTTCCCCTCGAGCGTCTCGCTCGCCGCGCCCCGGGGCTCCGCGTCCTCGGCGCCGCGGAACTCGTCGACGCAGAGGTCGTTGGTGTACACCCCGTCGAACCACCACCGCGTCAGCTCCTCGTCGCTGCACTCGAACCAGCCCCGAAAGGTATCGGGCGTGCCGTGGTAGGCCGAGAGCGCTAGGGACAGCGACGAGATGTTGACCTGGCCTTGTGGGGTTGTGTGCGGCGCGTCGGAGGGGAGGGCGTCGAGGTAGATGCGGAGGTAGCGGAAGCCGTGGAGGCCGTCTGCGCAGACTTGGCCTTTGCCTTGTTCGTTGGGATACTGGCATCCGTGTTTCGCGGTCCAGGTGTAGTCGTCCTTGGCGACTGCGATCTGGTCGCTGCCGGGCGTGATTGTGTCGCCGTTGTAGGAGCGGGAGAAGTCGCTGACGTTGCTCAGGAACTGTAGTGTCTCGGAGAAGGCGAGTCTGATGCCGGGTCTGCTGCTGCTGTCCTCTTGGTCTTTTCTCTCATCGTTTTCGTGACCCACGGTTCCGGAAGTAGACGAGGACGACGACCCGGCAAAGGAAATTGAAATAATACCCACAGTATTCTGTCCAAAGTCGACCGTCACGGAGGGTGCCTCATCTCCCGCCGAGTCACGAGTAAAGACCGTGGGCCCGCCTTCGCCGTTGATTAATCCCGACGGATTAGCGACGTCGCCGCGCGTGAGGTCGGGAATCACCCGCGCCGGGTAAATCGTCCTGGACTCGCTCGCCCGGACATGTCGGTGCCAGCTGGGCACCTCCTCGCGGCGAAGAGACTCATCACGAGGCGTGCTGCTGCCTCTCCAATATGGGTTTATGACATCCCATTGGCCGGTTACGAATGCAAAGAGGCTTGTCCATAAATTCGGCATTACGGCTTCGTCATGAGTGGAGGAGCGAGTGTCAATGACGTAGGCTGCTTGATAATCTGTCTAATCGAATAGTGAATGGGCTTTCGAAACAGAAAAGAGAAATGAGAAAATGAATGAGCAACGTGCTTTGATGAATTTGATGGATGAGCAATAAGTTGAGTGAACATACGAGTCGAGGAGGACTAAGGTCGGCGCGGGTGGGAATGCGGAATGCGGGGTCCCGCCCGGCGCTTCCCCAGATCGGATGATCTACGAACGGCAGTTGGCTGTAGGTAGGCTGAATCCACAACCCCAGCCCATTGCGGACCGCGGCCAACGATAGGGACTCGCATCTTTACACTGAGCCAGTCTCAATTCCACCAAATCCATACTACGTACAGCACGGCATTATAGGTTCCTAATACGTGCTTCCGCAGCGTTAGATGGGAGTATTTGATCACATTCATCTTTGCACATGCCATATTGTCGTTTTCTTCAGTTGCAACAAGGATCCCTGGTAACTTCAAGACAGACAATCAAATGGTATTAGACAGCACTGCGTCTCAACTGTCTCTATCGCCTCAATGCCACACCAGCGGCGCGATGAATGACCCCAATGCAAAGTGTCCATGTCCATGCCACGACGCTCCGAGTGGGCATCGTGTCTCTAAACAAAAGGAAGAGAAGAAAAAACAAGGGTTTCGAGGTAGCTCAAGACACCCCTATGTGAAGACCTTGGTATGTCCACGCATCTCAAAAGAAGTAACAACTGCGAAATGCATACGCGCGCGCAAAGTATCCATGGCGCTAAGGTTCATATCAGCGACCATGTTTCAATGTGTCGTCCATCAATCCATAAACCTTCTCAATCCCACCGCCTGTACCAGGACGCCGTCAAAAAGCCAAGAAAGGTATTTTACACTTTCGCTGTCTGTTAAACATGATGATCGTAAAGAGGCCTTATACAGTGCCTCGAAGTCTTTGCTTGCGTGCCAGCCAGTCGCCAAGCATGTTGTCAAGTTGCTATACAAATGTCAGTCCGAAAGCTCACGGAACTCCTTGTGTATCTCGACTTACTGTTGTAATTTCCGCCAACTTGGCATTCTGTTCGCGGAACAAAGAGCCTGCGACGGGGTGTTCCGGTCCAGCAGGCGCCACCTCGCTCTTGTCGTAAACAACGACCAGCATATCTCGGATATCCGAGCTCGAATCGAAAAATGCCCGAAGCTTCGCATCATTCCAGCTGCTACCGGTAGTGCTGCCACCCGTGGATGTTGAGCTGGCAGTCATCGAGTCTTGAGCGCGATGTCTGCCTGCCTCCTCAGCGTCAATGAGCTCTGGCGATGGTGACGTCGAGTGGCCTTCTTGACTGGAAGTATCCACCATGAGCGCAGGAGGGTTATGCGAAGTGACCGGCGACACTTGCACGGGAGATTCGGAAAGTCTATCCTTTTCGCGTTCAACAG